GATTCCTGGCTTAGTATCGATACTTTTGTTAGATTTAGATAGATAGAGTACACTTTATTTGAATATTTTCAGTGTGGGATGCTTAGCTCAGTGGGTGCACAGGCGACCAAATGCTGTATGGCTGGAGAGGCCTGCCTTCAAGTCTGACCTGTGGACTTTTGCCACTCGTCTTCCCCTCTCTCTCTCCCCACTTTCCTGTCTCTCTAAGCTGTCCCTATCCAAAAAAGGCTAAAAAAAAATATCTTTACTGTATTTTAAGATTGTACATACCAAGCACATTTCTTTAATGATTAATCATATGAATAAATAAAGTTTTGATTTTATACATTTCAGCTGCATTTTACTCAAAAATTCAAGGTTCAAGGTTCAAGGTTCTTTATTTGTCACATGCGCTTCATGTTTGCCGAAGAATCCTTTTTTTGTGTTTTTGAGTGTACCGCCCAGTCAAAACCAGTCAAAACAAAATATTCAGCGATGTGACAGGTTTACCAACCTCCACTCAGCTTCTAGGTGCTGCTGCTCGTAGCGGTGGGTGAGCTCAGCCACAGTGAGATCAGGGTGCAGCCAGTGTATCTCTGAGGATTTGAGGTGTTTGAGAAGGAGGCCGTAGCATGGGGTGTATTTTATCTCTGGACCAACGCAGCCGCTGGACAGCACCGTGCTGATCAGATTCTGGGATTGAAATAATTACAGAGAAGCATATTGAATTTTAGCTTTCCAGTATAAGCTTGATATCAACTTTACAACGCGTGCTGTGTCATGCGAATAAATTCCTTTCTGATGTAGGTTTAGAGAACTCAAGCGAAGGCTAAATGCCAGCGCAAGGCTTGTTTATCAGTGTGTGCATCCTGTTCTCAGAAATCCAAAACAGACTTCCTTGTTGTCTTAGAAGAAGGTATGAAGAATACATCTGAGTGCAGTGATGCCAATAAAGTCAGGAAAACTTAGAGAAGAGTAGCTGAAAGCAGGGCGGCAGAACATTATTAAAGCATTTCAGTCTATCTGATAAGCACAGCAGAGTAAAGCTTTTATAGTTTTAGAGTAGAGTATGAAGTAAGAGTAAAAAAAGGTCTACCTTGACAGTCCATCCCTCCTCACAGCGGATGAGTTTGAAGTTCTTGCCCAGGTTGGGGCTGTTGCTGAGGAAACACACTTTGATGATCTTCACCTGGGAGAGGACATCCCTGTGGACACCCGCTGTTGGAGACAGGTCCGAGGAATCTGACTGGCTAGTCAGAGACATGCTCCTCCAGGAAAGGGTGCTGGTGTCTCCCGACATCACGCACTCACTCGACACACACACAGACACACAAACAGCTACTGCACTTAGACATCCATGACTGTCCAAGTTTTCAGTCTGCTGCTTCTTTCTCCCTCACACAGAAAACAGGTAGGGGCGCATTGAAGCTGGGGACATGTAAGAGATCACCGTGTT